GACATATCCAGCGTTTACCACATAGAATTTAATCCTTTGGAAATGAACGCAGAGTTTGCAAATTACGGTATCCATCGTAATGGCCTTGTAGCACAAGTTAACCGCACCCAACTCGACTATTACAGATGGACTGTGACGGACGGCATATTTAATGGAGTTCAACAAAAAGTACTCAAAAGCTATTATCCAAAATGGATAACAGACACTGATAATATATTTGTGAAACTTGAACACAGCCGTGAAACTGTGCCACTGTCTTGGGTTGTACCGACAAAGAAGATTGACTTTGCAGGCATGCCTGTGGCAATTCCCAAGGAATACAAGAAATTTCTTGAGGCGCGGTACCCATTTACGTATCGGTTTAACATATTCACTCCATACAAGTGGAAGTGTTGGCTGCCATGTTGGATAACAGGCGACAAAACATGCAATAAATATTTTGCAAAACCAAAAAACAAAGCTTAATTTAATTTAAAATTAAATTAACTGGGTTGATGTGTACTGTAGGTATAATTATTTTACTACATATTTATTAATTTGTATATATATATTATACTAAGAACAGAAAATAATCAATCTTTTCTAAAACCTCATCTACAAAGTATGTTTTTGTCATGAAGTACAGTGAAGTGTTGAACAGAATTAAATAACATTGATTATACTATGCACGATTTAGGGTGGTTTTATTATCAATGGCACTCAGTTGAAACACTGTTACAAGTGTTACACAGTGTTAAACAATGTTACATATTCTTACATAGTGTTACACAATGTTACTGTACATAGTGTTACACAGTGTTACACAGTGCTACATAGTGCTACAGAGTGTTGACAGTGTTACATAGTGTTACACACACTAACCCTACCCCCACCGTGTTACATAGTGTTACACACACTAACCCTACCCCCAACCCCACCGTGTTACATAGTGTTACACACACTAACCCTACCCCCACCGTGTTACATAGTGTTACACACACTAACCCTAACTCTAAATAAAGATAGTGTAACACTTGTAACACTGTTACCCGAGTGTATACTTGATAATACACCCTAAATCCATGCATCAGTCAACGTTATTTATTTCCCTCTGTTTGCATATGTCCATATATTAATACATAGCCTTATCCTTAAACAGATGCCAATACTGGAAACAATTCTTATTTCATATTATACACCCTTCTGGAAAGTATGTCACTTGAGCTATAGAGTGTTTTTTTCCTATTTTTTCCTGTCTGGCGTCTCAATCATGCACAAAAACAAGATTACAGTATATGGCCGAGGTGACATACTTTCTGGAAGAATGTATTAAGTTTGATGCATGCGAAGCATAATGTATGAAATGGGCCTAAAGCAATCTTCTTCACTCTGATGAAAAATCGTGGATTTGTTGATTAATTAACAAAACATTATAAACTTTGTTTTCGAGGGATAATGTCTGCAAACATGAACGATCTTCAATTGAACTGTGTTATTAATTTCCAAAGACAGAAATTCAGTCACTTGTACGGTAAAAAAATTAGTCGAATAACAAAACATCTGTAAATATGGACTCGATGATGATACAAACTCCAACAAAATAAATGAACCATTCTTTCTCTGAATCAAGTTGTCCTACTCTGTGCAGCCACCACTAAAAAATTAATTTTTGCAGCAACTGTCAGCTTGAAGTATATAGTAAAACCCTGTTCAAACGAAGCCAACACGTTCCAACGTTGTCCGCTTCATTTGAACAGGCTGTGTAATTGGACTGGCTGTTAACCATGATTCTGAAAGAGAGTGTCCACATTTCACAACAACACACTTGTAGCGGGGTTCGAAAGCCTTTGAATTTTGGGTCTCTTAAACAGTATTAAAGTTTTACGGTTCTTCAGATGTTGAATTTAGGTTTAGCCTACCTGTAGGTTGAGACACTTTTTTAATCTTTGAAAAATTTCCTGTGGTCCCCCTTTTGCATTTGAGCACCATTTTTCAACACATGTTTTTTATATCAGTTGAAAGTAATTATTTTGATAAAAAAATTTTCGACAATTTTCTGAAAGTTTGGAGTAAGGTTGAGGCATTTTTTTAATTTTTGAAAATTTCCTGTGGTCCCCCTTTGTTGACCCTAGGGTTGCTGCACATGGTCCCCCCTTTGCATTTCCGTTTGGAGTAGGTTGGGGCATTTTTTGATATTATTTTAATATCATTAATACTACAGTATATTATGAATATTAATCTGACTATTTGCCCCTGCATCCCACCCTTTGACAGGGCCGGAACTACTGCGGGGGGGAGGGTCTGCACCCCCAAAGAAAAGTAAACAAAGTTAGCCCAACTTGCCCAGAGGGGACCCTGGAATGCTGGGATTGCGGAACATGTTAAATATTAAGGAATTTTCTGAAAAAATTGGAAACATTTTTTCGGACGTTTTATTTTCGGAAAACTTGGCAGCTCTGATATTTAGAATATCAATAGCAAATGGTGAGATTTCATAGTTTTACAATTTAGACGTTTTCAAAACTTTTGCACATAGCGTTGTCAATGAGTTATTGTATTTTATTATTATTATTAATATAAAGTATAGTGCTTTTATAGAGATTTCGAGCACTGATAAAATTGATAATCTCACATGTGAGATTATTTATGATAATCTCACATGTGAAAATTATCGCTTTTCAATTATCGCTTTTCTGTAAAAATTATCACTTTTCAAAGAATGTCCTTTATATAATAAACAGAAAAATACATGGGTGCTTGGATATACCAGATTTATTTCTCATGTTGAACATGATATCTCACTCGTTCACTGCGACTCGTGAGATATCATGTTGAACACTCAAAATAAATCTGGTATTTCTGCACACCCATGTATTATTCTCTATATAATAATTATATTATTCCAGGTAAGGTTGCATGCCATGAAAAGTGGGATAGCGTGATACAATGGTAAAATGCGTAATTTTAAGATCATTATGTGTGCGGGACAGAATTACAAATAAAGCAGAATGCGTAACGTTCACGCAAAATGCAGGAACCTTGGCAGGTCTGATTTTACTCTGTCTAACGCTAGATAATTTTACTCAAGGGGAGAGTGCTGATGCTTAATGGGCTAACATTACTAAATGTACCATTACAAGTACTGTAGTGTACTTACTAGAGCACATTCCACCAATGTTATGCCTACAAATTAAAAAAATTGGAAGTTTTATGAAACAATTAATTAACCATCAAGCTGTATGTAAAGTATGTATGTAAGGTCTTTATTAAATTAATATGAAAAGAGAATAGTTACATCAGACGTGTAACTTTACAAATAATATCTACTCTATATAAAACATATATACTACAGATAAAAAGTTCAATGAAATTACAGTTCTATATAAACATTCATGAGTAGAATAAGTTTGTAGCATTTGTTTTGTACTAGCTGTATAAAGTATAACCTGTTTCTTTCAAAGTTGATATTTATTTAACTCATTAACGCCCAATGCGCCCGTATGCGCCCTGAGATTGACAAGTGGGTAACGGACAATGCGCCCGAATGCGCCCTGGCATGACACCTTAACTTGCGGGCATGATATTTGAGCACGTGTTTATTGGGTTGCCTAGCAACGGATACGAAAATAGAACGTGAAATTCGAGCTTTTCAACGGTGTATCATGCAAGAAAATCGGTCAGAAACTCGCAAAGTTTTTCAAGTTTAAAATCTTAGTTTTCCAAAAATAATGAATAATGGCGATTCTGTTACAAAGAAAGATTTTACAGCAAGTTTTAAAAGCAAGAAAAGAAGAGGTTTCTGAATCAACTACAACGAAAATTTGGCATGAAAGGAAAGCGAATGTATTGACGTTTTGGGGCCAAGTTTTTCTGTGAACCATGCGCGAGATTTTCAGCCAAAAAGATGAGGATTTCTCCAAACTTTATTAAAAATAGAAGTCGGAAATCACAAGAAAGATGAACACGGAACACAAGTGAGCAGATACGATTTTTTAAAGGGTATTTTTGAGTAGAAATATGCGATCAAACACTCACAAAATTCGACTGCATTAATGTTCGTTGAATCTAGTTTAAAGTTATCTTTTTAGACGAACTGTTTATGCAAATTTGGGCACAATTTCGACTGTTTTCGTAACCCCATTGTTGGTCTTCTTGTTCAAGTTGTTATTTTAGCTAAAGTATGTTTCAAACGACACCAGATTAAATTACTGTGTGCGTACGTGCCCTATTTGGCAAGAATACTTCGAGTATTAAATTACACTAAGTAAGTAGGGTACTCCAAAATCACTGTTATATCTATTTTCATCAATTTAGTCTTAAAATGACAACTCGTTTCAGGCATATTGTGGTTTGAAATAAGTGTAATGAATTAATGCGCTTGCTTGCCGCGTGCGAATTCTCAAAAAGTCCGCACTTGAGTTCTAAAGCTTTTAAAATGCTTTTTGTATTGGGTTTTATATCCCCATAAAACTTTAAATCGATAAGGCAGATAGTAATGTTGATCCAACCTCATTTGCTAGTAACTACATGTTGAATCAGAAGGAAAAGTTATCAAAATTTGGTCGCGACGGTTGTTTGCCGTTGTTGTCGCTTCTCTCTGAAATGGCTTCCTTTGCGGGAAGCCATGAAACTGAAGTCCCAACAAAAACATAATTTAACCGTCCTTTCGAGCCCATTGCTCGCTTATTTATCATGAAATCGTTTCACTAGAACATTTTTAATAATGTCTATGGGAAACTTTGTAGTTTTCTGAACTAAAAGTTTATGGTTTTGACTTTTGAGGTGTTTATTTTATAAAATAGCACGCGCGACAAAATGGCACTAATGTGGTTTCTCATGTCTGACAAACAACCAAAGATGAAAGTCCTTATTTCACCCTTTTATAGCTATGTTGAATACCTGAATATTAGGTTATCTTTTTCATTTGAGCATACAGATAACATTTCTACACAATTAGTCCTAATGAAAGCTTATTTCAAACTAAAAAAAGCGATTGTTTTTCAGAGCCAGACTTCAAAAGAGAACGCGTGTCTGACATTTTATAGCAGCCTACATTGGCGCGCAAAATAATTTTGGCTAAAAACCGTTTCTTTCCAAACAGAAATATGAGAAAATTGAGCTAAAAGGCTTACCTGATGTATGTTTAAAATGTTTTTCTCTTTATGGTGTTTTTCAGTGCTTTGAGTAGAGAAGTGAATAACTTTTGGTTTTGTCACCGCAATTTGCCTTTGAAAATGTCGGCTGTCATTGTCTGTGTTAAAAACACCTCAGAAAATTCCTATTTTCTCACCTTCCCATCGTTGGTTTATATTGAAAACAAATAGATTCTAGTACCGTATGTCCTTTTAAATATATTTGAGGTAATTAAAAACTCCAAAGATGTACAAGCACTGTGTTTTGGCTTGCACACTTTGTTGAATTTTAACACTTAGTTACTGTTCTAAATTTCATGTTGTAAACATCTTGCCCAAAAGAGCAAAGGAGTATTTTTTATAATTTTTGATCATTTTCTAATTCATATCCCAATAGATGAAAATTGGTTATAATATAGATATGTACTAATTTAGTAAATAATTTTTTTTTTGGTTTTTATATAAATATATGGAGATATTGCCCCTTTAGGTGATGAGTGACATGAAAAAAAATAGTGTCACTGGTTTACAAATAAAAATTCTCATTGAAAAAACTAATGATATATATAGGTATGCAAGTTCATTTAAACTAAATTTGGTCAATCATATATTAATAATATTTGGTTGAAAAGACCAGATTTATTCATGCAACTGTTTCTACGTATAGAATATCACTCTCATGCATGAGCATTAATTTATAAACCCGACCAATCCTACGTAAGTTTTTGCAACCAGGAGTTGCAGAACCATCTAGGGGTAATGAGGGCATGTGCCCGGTGAGCCAACACTTTTTTTAAAAGTGAAAAATGTGTCCTTTTCTCTGGGCTAAAGTGCCCCATTTAGAGAAATTGAAAAAATTTTCTCGAACGAACGCCCTCTTTTGCTGGAAAGAAAGTACCCTTTTTGCAGTACGGTAGTAAAGGCCATTTATAACATCATAGTGACTCCATATTTTCAAAAAAAATTTGTTTGGCTCGTGAACGACATAAAATTGTTTGATTTTGGTCATATACAAAGGTGCCCCTTTTGTCCAACGCCCTCCACTTTCGAAATGTTTCCGCGGCCTCTGCAGGAAACCCAGGTAATTACTTTTTCGCCTTAACAGTACAAATATCAGTCAGAATCCTAATTTTACTCACAAAGAATACTGAATCCTAACAGGACATACGAAACATGTTTGGAAACTCCTCGGCTAAATGATATGATGATGGTTATCTAAAGAAAATCAAAACAAAAAACAATTTATGCTCAGGAGGGCTGACCAAATTAAAAATGCCAGAGCTCTGGTAGAACTCCGGCTTCTGGCACACAACACTACGTACTGTATAATAATAAAGGTATCTGTAACTTACTGCAACCATTAATCCCACAATTCCAAAAAATATTATCTTCTTTAGTCTCTAAAAATAAAATTTTCATTGGCTTAATAATTTTGTGGATTTTTACATATTTATTAGACTAGCGACCAGGAGTAGCTGCAAAAAATGCATTAGGCCCTCCGGCCAGGGTGCATTCCATGTAAACCTCATGCCGAAGATAATCTCAAGGTAGTCTTGCCGCACGCCAAGTGAGGTCAATTTGTGCGTTGGCTGATCGCAGGCACAGGTTTCATTAGTTAGTAAAATGTAGTTAAAGTGGAAGTCAAGTCCGTTCTGCACATCGGTTCTGCTCATAACAATGTGAGGACCCTCTAATGTGAACATTGCCCAAATTTCGAATGTTTCAAATTTTTCTGAACATAAACTCTATTTCATATTCATTTAGAAGCATAGCGAACCAAAATGGTGTTAGATATTCAGACAGTACATCATATTTCAAAAAATACAGCAGTTCAAAATGTAAACAAACCGTTTGTTTACATTAGGCCTGTTTTATACGTCGAATTTTGGTCGTGTCGAATGCAATTAAGACAATAGATAATGAGATGATAAACCTCATTAAGCTTCATTATCTATTTTTTGAATTGCATTCGACGCGACTGAAATTCGATGTATAAAACGGGCCTTACTGACTTGACTTCCACTTTAAATTTAAACTTGCTAGAAAGGCATGTAACTGACTTTGCTGATGAGCAATGATGAGTGTTGTTACTAACTGTTGTATCACAAATTATAACCACCATTTAGCTTACAACCAGGCACACAAGTTTCTCGACTCCCTAAAGAATTATAGAGGCCAATATTCAATCACCAGGCGATTATTGGGTCATTCCAGAAAACATCCATACCAACCCCCACGGAGGAAATTAACCCCCCTACCCCCTTTGGATGTCCTAATACATTTACTATTATCAGAAACAATTTTTTCTCCCCTCCCCCTCTGGACGGTAGAAATTTGCTCCGTGGGGAGTATGGATCTTTTCTGGAACGACCCATTAATACTCTAGGCCTCGCTTGAATTTTGATGCTGCACCAAGCACCAAAACGTGTGCGCCAACCTTGATGTGATTGTGCACCAGCAATCCAAAACACATGTACCGAAGATCTTCCACAAAACGTGCATGGAATGCACCCTGGCCCTCTGGCAGGACTTGAACCTACGGCCCTGCAATCCGATGCAGCGCTCTAACCAACTGAGCTACAGACAGTCAGTTGTCGAGCTCTAACTTGTGGGTATAAATTATTCTTTTATTGGAAGTATATGGAAAAGATAATGTCATCATTTGTTGAGGTATTCAGTATGTATAAAGAACAAAAACCACGCCTTCAATAATTTGACAATTTTCAAAACAACTAAATGCACTTCATGGTCAAAAGATCAACGATAAACAAAAAGCCATCAAATCTTATCAAAGGGGGGAAGGGCAGTTATGCCAATGCAATTTATTTTCTATTCTGCAAAATTGCATCGACAATTTGCAGGAAGAGATAAAGTAATAGGCTCATAAAAAGCAAAAGTCAAACTAACCGTTCTTTTCACATCATAATTATCAGGATACAACGGCATCTGATCATTAAAAGCGTTCTCATTTTGAATAGTCTGAGTTCCCTCCGTTTCGTCGTCCATTTTTTGATCGCACGAGAAAATTCAACTGCCTTGAAAACCGGAACTGAATGTTTTCCGGGGGGTGTAATATATTTTTATTCACCAGTATTCGGAAAAATCTTCCTTTTTCTGGCTTTATTTTTCCTTTTATTTATTTACATTTATTTGAAACATACTGCAGGTGTACAAAACTATAATCCAAATTACTTTTCCTATCCAAAATTGCAATTAATCGCTCAGAATTAAGAAAAAATGGAAGGCATTTATTTTATGGAGTGTCATAAATACACTATAAAACCCCCCGGATTTTTATTGCACGCGCAACCATATATCAGTGGTAGCACCACAGCTGGTTTTATTACACTTCGGCATTGTTCAAGACAAAAACTCGTTTGGTTTTATACACAAAGGGCAAAATGGACGAGACTACAAGGCCCTATTATGGAGAAGATAGCCCATTAAAGGTACAAGCAATTAAATTTTCTTTATAGTTTGTTTAGAAAATGCTCATTAATTGAAACTTAAGGGGCGCAATATGCAGTATAAATAGGTTGGCTTAATATATTCATTATTTGTGGTGTTTGTTTTTATAAAAGATCGGAAAATTGCGATATTGTGCAAGTTTTTGAAGTGTTTTATGTTATATTAAATGCTTCCTTGAAGTGAATATGAATATAAATGATTTCCTCTTGAACATGGCTGCTAAAATATTACAACTATTTGCAAATCAAGTAGCTGATTATATATAAGGGCCATGTCCATATTCAAGTTGCCATATAAAAAGTCAAATTGATTTCTTTACTAAATCACCCACACAGCCTTGAAATATCAAGCATGGCATAGCTTATCGCAAGATTCTTAGCCACTCCCCTCCCCCTTGGTCATGGCTGCCAAGAGGTTGCGCGCGGGCCATGGCTAAACTTTCCCGGGGTCCCTCTGATGTCATAAAATATTCCAAATATGGCCCCTATGATGTTCAGTTATAATTGTAAAACGTGAGAAACGGTGTTTTACAGTAATGTATATATTTACACTCCGGCAATGAGAATGTACATTCTCGGTTAATAAGCAACTTGTATCAAGAAATTCTAAGGGAATTCTTTGTCGCTTTGGGGGGCCTTTATGAGCTGGGAGCCGGGGGGGAATGCCACCCTCTCTTGGTAACCCTGCCCATGGTAGAATGATTGCTAGATAAAACTGCATATCCTAACAAATGCCCAACAGTTTCCTTGACATAATTCACAGAACTCACAACTTTGCAGAGAAGTTAAGAGTGAGATTGGGGATGATGTGGATGACACCTTTGTAAAAGTCCGGGGGTCTGAAATGGCATTTCATACATGAGAGTTCGTGTTTTTTAATGAAATACGTCACTGCTTCATAACTTCCTTTAAGACAAGGCACTTTAGTTACAATAACTGTATTTCTGTGACATACAATAATGAGCTTTAATTTGCCTTTGATAATTTACATATAGAATTCTGCTCCAACTGATTCTGCCTTTTGTCTGCCGTATTTACATATCCGTACTATTTTGTATCCAAATTGCGGGCAAAAGCCAAAATGTCGGGCCGTTTATGCAGGAACAATAACACACGATTATATATTCAATTTGTGATCCGTATGATGATTAATTAATTAATAATGTGCATTTAAGAATACAATATTATATTTATTTATTGAAAAAATACTATGAAACTGCTATATGCGTGAGATTTACAAAACGTGGCGTGAGAGTGAAGCGAATTACGCGAGACTCAACCGAATGTGTGACAGTTGGGTCTGGATTCATCCCAGTTAGCCCAGCTCATATGACCAGCCCAAACAAGATAATTGTGGTTTAATACCCATTTAATGCCCAACGTTACACTTTCCCTTTGATGAATAAAATCATCCGTTGTTAGTCAAAAGTAAATATCCTAGTATTAGGCAGTATTGACAAGTAAAATCGCCTGGTGTTAGACAAATAAAATAACGGGTTAAAGTTTCTCTAATGTTTAATATTTCCTTCCTAGACAATGCTTCTTCGAATCTGGTTTGGCATAACATTCCTTGCGGTTTTGGTAAGGTTAAATGTGCCTTCACTACAGTACATTCACTCTATGCCAGAGCAAAATAATGATGCAACGTTTTATGTCTATTGTCTCTTCACACTAAACCATTATTAGAGTTCAGTACAGATTATCAAAACGACATCCGATAGTGAAAAACAATTTAATTCAAAAATAGAAAAAAATAAGAAAAGATACCGAGTAATAAAAAATAAATTTAGAAAGATAATAAAAAAAATGCTAAAGTGGAGCAATATAAAGACGGTACCACCGTTCACACGAATCAGCCAAGCATTTAGAAACCATGCTCGAATTGTTACGACATTTTCAAGCAATTTTGCTCCAGCGTAATGTGAACATACTGTAGTCTCAAATTAACACTGTGTGACAATCTCTAAATTATTATATTATGTAATATAATTTTTTGTAGATTGCCTTCATCCTGGGTCTGGTAAAAGCAAAAGATGACGCAGTGATGTATCTACTGGTCGTCAATTTACTAGGTATATAATTTACAGAGATATAAACAGTATTGTTCAAATTTCTTCTTTCTGTGTGTATACGGTAGATACAATGATGACATTGCATTACTAAAGCCCCAGTCAAACAGGCCTTAAAATATCTTTTACAGGGCAGTCGGACAAATGTCCGATGACTTCAGTTCAGTTTGGGTCGGAAAGAAGTCTGAATGACGCAAATTAATATCAGCATAATGTATTCATTCTGAACTAAATGTTGTGAAGATATGAAATAATTTGTGTCATTCATACTTATTTCCAAGCCAAAATTAACTTGCTTGCCAATGATAGCAGTACGACTTCGATAACTTAAGCCTGTTTTCTACCTCGACATTTCACTCGCCGCCCCGCAACATTTTCGGTTCATTTTTATACAAACTCTGGTTCTGGACTAGGGTACTGTACATTTTTATTTACGTGCGTGGAGAAAGCATCAGACAAAGCTACAGTTTAGTCGGACACCAATACACTCGGGTCGGACAAACAATAAACCTCAGTTTCACTTAGGTCGGACAGAATGTCCAGTGGTTTCTTCTGTATGTCGGACAATTTGATGAATGGTTCGGACAATGTCCGTGACCGACTGATATTTTAAGGCCTGCAGTCAAACAAGAGTTGATGAGAGTTGCAAGTTTCCAACTCTCATTCACGTTTGATCACAAACTCTCATCAACCGTGCATGGTAACATCCACTCAACTCTCATCAACAGTCATGCAACTTTTGTTCTCGATTGACTGGGGTCATGAGCATGGGCGTACCGGAAGGAAAAATTTAGGGGGGCGGTATGCCCGACTTTTCCGGATTTTGCCCGACAAGTACCCAAAAAACTTTTTCCGGAATTTATTTTTGCGACCTTCCCCATCGCCAAAAAAAATTCGGTCAGTGTACCATTTTAGGTGTCAACAAATTTTTTCCGACAGCTACCAAAATTTTTCGGAACAATATAACAAAAATTTTCAAAACAAAAATTTACCACAAAATTTACAGAATTTGTCTCAATTATTTTTATAATAAACCAAAATTGCCCGACTGTTGAGCGAATATTGCCCGACTGCCCAACAAACTGGGGGGCTGCCGCCCCGCCCGGTACGTCCCATGGTCATGAGAGTTGAGAAAACTCTTACTGCAAAAACCCTCGCTTCTCAACTCTCATTCTTGTTTCACTGCGGCTTGATTAAGAAGTAGTAAATAAATTTAATATGTGGTTTGATTTCCTTTTAGTGAGTGGAATAATTGGTGCCATGATTGTAAGTACAACTGATCAATTGGTAGTTATTATGCATTGGGAGTATTATATTTTTATTTTGTGTGTGTTCTACTCGGGTGAATAATTTTTATTTTTAAATGTCCAATGATTGTTTTTTTTGTCCTTGCAGGCTTGGTGGTTTCATAAAGGAAGCATTGTAAGTATAATCAGAATAAAATCCAAGTTTTAATTTTAGCCTTAATTATGATTGAATGATATCACATGTCATATGATATATCATACATGTGACATCATGTCACATGTAGAGGCATGTATGTAACATCACATGATACCATGTGACATTGTCACAGGACATGTGAGTTCATCACCATATCATATGTTATGTTGACAATTTGACATGCACTGGACCATGTGATATGTCAAGCCTAAAAAAAATACCTGTGGTTCCAGTTCCCGACCGACCCTATTTTTTTCTGCCGACCCTATTTTCTCCGGGTGGTTGATGGCTGCTGCCAAAATGGCGGCGTCTGTTTTCACACTACAGTAATTATTGAAAAAACCATGAAAAAATATTCCAAAAAAATTTATTTCCGACCGTAATTTTTTTTGCAATATGAAACCGGAACCACAGGTATTTTTGTTTTAGGCCTCATGATTTGTCACATGTAGACTTGTAGCAATGCTGTTCCAACAACTTGTCAAGGTTGTTGAGCTCAACAGACTTATTACACTAATAATTTTCACAAACATACAAAGAACTTATTACAAGTTGTTCCGACAACAACATCGTCCTGTAATTCAACAAGTTGTGAGTGACAACCTTGTAGCAACTTAATGTAATGCAGCATTGTTACAACTTGTTGACAAGCTTCATGCTACAAGCCTGTGGCAAGTACATCTTCAGTTGACAAGTTGCGATTTTCACATGTGTTATGTTACAGCAGTTGTAATGTACTGGTATGGTACATTACCATCTGAACTACCTTCAAAAAATTTCAGGCAGTCCAGACACTAACAATTATCAGTTTATTGTATAACACTACCTGTACCGTACATACATTAGATTGTCATTTTTGAGATATACAATAGTTCACTAATAATTTATATTTTTTTCAGAAAACCCAAAGTCTGGTGTTTGTCCTTTTTGTTGGCATGTGTATTGTATTTCAAGCAATTGTATCTGATGTGTACATCTACCACAATCCCAATTCATCTAGTAGCAATGATGTGAACCCGGCTAATGTCAATAATGCAACTACTATTAGTCCATCAACTACAATTAAACTTGTGGTTCAAATGTCGAAGAGTCAGAATGGAATCTGAACAAGACTCGTACAAACATTAAGTACTCACAGTTTATAAATAATAAATTAACTAATAAGTTTCCATCAATTAGTTAGCCTCCTAACTTGAGTCAGCAAGTGCCTGCCTTGCGCCAATCAACACTAGATTCCCCGTATTACGTTTTCGTAGCGCTTTGCATTGTGGGTTATAGTGGTATCACTGATATTCAAGATGGCTTATTTTTTGTCCTGACCCATGCAAGAACTCTTAAAAAAAAGCTAGGGTCAGGTCGCAATAGTCAAGGGTGGGTAGTAGCGAAGTAGTTGTAGTTCGCTACTGTAGCGAACTACAATTTTCAAGTAGCCAGTAGTTTTTGACTACTTTTTTAAAACAGTAGCTGTAGTTCTAGCGAACTACATTTTGCCTAAAAGTAGCCAAGTAGTTGACTACTTTTCAAGCAGCGAATCGCTATTCGCTACTTTTTAAAATTGTTAGCAACTTGATAGAATAGCATGATATTGAGACACGGTTTGCTTAAAATCAATACTCAATAGTCAATTTGCACTCTTCAACACTGTAGTGCTTACAAAAAACGTTGCTTTGTGTTTACTGTTGCTACTCGTAAATCGATTTGTTATAGATTACATTTCAGCCATAGTAGATGCTCCAAATACAGTAAAACTAAAAAATATGGCGTAGCGAAATAGCGAAATACTTCGCTACATTTTTTAAGCAGTAACTGTAGTCAGTAGCGAACTACCTTTGTTCAAAAGTAGCAGTAATTGTAGCGGACTACATATTTTTGAAGTAGCTGTAGTTATAGCGAACTACAAAAATGTTGTAGTCAACCCACCCTTGGCAATAGCCAACAGCAAAATATTAGCGAAAACATTCAGTATTTTCATTCAAAGCCGCTATCTTTATCAGTGATACCACTATAAGCACAATGCAAAGCGCTACGAAAACGTAACAAGGCAAATCATCAATTAATTAACCATTTTTTTAGTGGCAGCATTTTCCCTATGAGGAGTAAATTAAATAATCTGGCTAACGCCAGAGTAAAATAATAAACAGGGTGCATTGGCACTTAATGGTTAACAGGATGCTTGGTAGTCTGATTAAATCATTGAGTGGCAGCACTCTCCCCTTGACAAATACATAAATTGTCTGGTATTAGCCAGTAGGGTTGAATAAAAAATCAGCAGAGCACATTGCCACTTAAAGAGTTAATCAATTGATATATGGTTTGGAAACTCGACTAACAAGCCGTGAATTTTGCTTATTAGTATTTCAACAACATGACTGAGGTAATACCATTGGATAATTGTTTCAAATGTTACAGTATGCCAAAAAAGTTTGCATAAATAAGAAGATAGAATAAGGCTCTATTTCTTGATTGACTTGACAACTGTGACCACAGCCTCGTGCCCAGTGTCTCCGCCTACCCCCAGCTGCGGGGGACAATGGTATTGCCTGGTCATGTGGTTGAGCCCACATGCTACAGCATACCCAGTAGAGGTAGGACTTATGAAAAAAATCTAAAGCCCAGTTCAAGCGAGTCCAACATCATCGAAAATTGTTGGCACAAGGTTGGATGAAAATGTTAACATAAAGTTTTGTAGTCAAACTCAATCCACATCAATAGTGTTCAAACGAGAACAGGCCTTTTAAAGCTAATGTTCTATTCTATTTCTATACTTTCGTAAACTGGAACAAAGTAAGGGACTGGTTATTAATAATGGGAGGGGGCGGTGGCAGCTTCAACTATTTTTGCCAGAATTGGAGACGACCTCAAACTGAAAAAATGTGACATGGGGCAACCCCAATTTTTTTAATGCTTTCCTACTCATTTTCAACCTCTCGCCTTTATCATATACTACAAAATATTTCACCTTTTTGGTTCCTATAATCGTAGTTTCCATTGGAGTCAAGTAAACCATAGGAGTTCACCATAGGAGTCAAGTAAATAACAACCATTTCGAATACTGGTCCTCTAATCATTTAGGCTACACAATGTCTTACATTAGTACTTGTCCCACTACCTATTTTACACCAAAAATGTAACAAATTAAATGTTGGAAGGGGGTTCCTAAATTTTCTAGATGAAAGTGGGGCATCTATAGGTCTTGTGATTGGGGCGTCTCTAAAAAAAGTCCAATAGTTGGTACTTATCACCCACCGCCCCCTCTCTCGTTATCAATGATCGGTCCCTAACTAGGCATGCAAAGTTGTTAATTGGTTATAAACAAATAGATCGATATATTTTCTACTCCATACACTGAATACAGTGTACTGTAGCCATAGTCAACGAGGACGGTCATGAAATTGAAACAATCACAAAGTTAATAATTATTTTGATAATGTATCTAAATGAATAAATTGATTACATTAAACCATTGAAAAATACATTTCAATGAATTAAACTGATTCGACTGTCCTTTGAATGTTTGATGAAAGAAATCTGGATTGTGTAAACTAAACTGGATTTGATTTTTTGTTCATCTACCAGGTGCAAGGGCCAATTTGACAGTAACACTGGACCAATAGTAAGCATGCCTCTGGGAGAAACGTTTTGATCGGATCGAGCTATTCAGTATAGGGTTTATAGGTTAGGTTTCCTTCTGTAGTAACACTGGATCATCAATTAACAGATGGACTTACTTACTTTAATTACTGGACTTCTAGGGAGAACAGTTTAGAACTGAAAGAGCTATCCAGTATAAATAAAGTTAAAAGTCCGTTATTGCATATGGAAATTATGCATTTTATTGAAATTGTTTTACCATACATATTAATAATACAACTTGAATACTTGATTGCTATACGCTACAATTACTTAGTAAAACGTTTACTTGTATAGACTATAGTCAATGTCATTGACTAGACCTAAATCATAAATGATCATTTTACAAGTACATATTATAAGCCATAGCTAATTAACATTTACATGTAACATGTTTTTCAAATCTACGTTTCTGCTACTTTTCATATTTACAACAGTTGTTAGTTCTACAACCGAATGTTCATCTTCCATCATTTCTGCGACCAAACACCCCTTCAATTAACACAACCCTTAAACTAACACAACCCTTAAAAACACCCCACTCTGGCTGTAATGCTCTAATCCCTCTAAACGTACTGTATACTACAAAAACTTTAACGATAACACTAATGTTGTTACAAACTACATTTCAATGTACAGTACAGTACTTGATTATCATTAGTGTTTAGACAATATAGCCATATAGGCAATCGAGAGGGCCAATGCACCGCTGTTTTGTGGTCTCTTGTTGTGTGCGAACAACACATTGGTGTTGGCATTGGCGTTGCCAGTAAAACTGTTAAAAAATCCTCTCGATTACCCATAACATAACATTTCCAATTACAAATCCCAAACCCAAGGGTCTACCTTAATGTTTTTTTCGCTGCTAGCAAATCTATGCTAGCAGGTTTCACTGTTACTATAGCAAAGTCACTACCAAAATTTATCAATACTTGCGCATCTGTTTCACGCACGTAGCTTGCGCAGTTTTCGGTCGTCAGAAATCACATTTCTGAAACTTTACATTTACCAAAAGTTTGGTAGTGAAATGTTGTTTTTTTTACTATTGTTATTTTACTATTTTCTGTTAATTTTGTGTTAACCTGAGTGTCAGGCTTTAATTCAGACGAAAATGCATTGGCCTGCATTCAGTTCACTGCCTGATACTCAGATTGTTTTATTATTATTCATTGTTCTCGTTTTCATTTCTCATCTTCACTTCTCAATTTCTCATCTTCAGTTCTTAATTTCTCATTTTCAGTTCTTAATTTCTCATATTCATTTCTTAATTTCTCATTTTCAGTTCTCAATTTCTCATTTTCAGTTCTCAATTTCTCATTTTCAGTTCTCAATTTCTCATTTTCAGTTCTCAATTTCTCATTGTCAGTTCCTAATTTCTCATTTTCAGTTCTTAATTTCTCATTTTGAGTTCTTAATTTCTCATCTTCAGTTCTTAATTTCTCATTTTCAGTTATTAATTTCTCATTTTCAGTTATTAATTTCTCATCTTCATTTCTCAATTTCTCATCTTCAGTTCTCAATGTC